TTTCTGTCTGGAGGATAAAGCTGGGTCATTGTGTTGTGAGTCCCTCCGTGTTCCATCCCCAGTGATGGGTGATAGAGTTATTATGCAGTACAGTATATTTAGAGACAGTCTGGAAGCATGGTAGGAGACCAGATTATCCTGCAAAAGGAGTGGGACTACTTAAAGACATAGGAGGGAAAGAAAGTGCAAAAAACTGCGGTGAAATACCTTTTACTGCACATCGGCCCCACAGAGTGGGGAACAGCTGAGTAGCAGCAGCAGGGCTGTTCAGGTGGAGAATGTCCTCCCAGGTATAAAATGTTCTTGTCCCACGTTCTGTGTTAGGTATTTTGGCTAGCACAATGCTGGAATTCAGCATGTGGTCTATTGTGCCAGGCCAGGTCAGCTCCTCTCTGTGCCAGTCAGACCATTCCTTGAATACCGGCTTCCCTGAGAAAAACCAGGAAATCAGTGAGTGCAGCTAAAAGCTTTTAGAAAGCAGCCTGGCAGGAGAGTTAAAATGTGAAGACTGACAGCAGATCTCATGTTAAAGATATTTCAGGTAGCACAAGGTGGTGGGGCTGAAGCACAGGAGATAGGCAGTTGTTTTTTGCTGTGTAACCCAAAGAGATTTACCCTTGCCTGGAGGTGGGGTGGCTGCAGGACGGTTTGGTACAGGGCAGGTGGAATGGATTCACTCAGTAGTGTCTGAGATACAGCCAGTCCTGCCTTCAGGTGTGTGTGTGGGAGTGCAACCTGGAACAACAGGACCCTGAGCACTTAGGCCTTTCTGTGGTTTGTTAGGGTGCAGAGCTTGCTGTTTAAATTGTGCTTCTCCATGGGCTTTTGGAAAAGCCTTGGGTGCCTTCAGGGCACTTCTGCAAAGCAGCTGCAGAGCTGCATTCCTCTGCTTGCCACTATCTAAAAATTATTTGCATGCCAGTATTATGGAAGTAGGTATCTGAAATTATTCTTAAAACCTTGAATTACCAGTTTTTGAAAACACTCAGACCTTCAATTGTGGCTTTTGGAAGGAGCACTGTGCACATCACTCTTGGTGTGTTCCTGGCAGCCCCAGCAGCTCAGACATCTCTCTGTTCATCCTTCCCTCCAAGCAGGGCTGGGGCCTGCCCTGGGGGACACTTCAGAAGCAGAACTCATCTCTATGCTGGTCCTTCCCTGGGCAGTCCCACCTCCCCCATCAGGACAGGAACCTGTGAAGGGAAGCTTACCCCGAGACTCAGCTCCCTGCATTGGCTCACCCCATCAGGCCTGTGCCAGTGTGGGTCTCTTTGGGCAGGGAGAGGAGCAGTAGGGTGGCAGCAGTGGTTGGTTCAAGCAGAATGGAGACTTGTCCTTAAATTTTAGCTGTAGATGAGATCTTGACTGTTTGTAGAAGGTTGTCCAGGGATGATTCTGCTTGCAGATCCTTGGCTGGAACAGAGCTCTGCAAGTGGCTTCTTTAAGCTCCTGCAAGTGGCTTCTTTAAGCTCCTGTGCTATCCCTGCCCTTGTATGATTGCAGGGCACTAAGCCCCCGTGAGACACTGCATTGCTGTGGAAATCTATGTTGCAGTAACGAGGACCATCACAAACAGGAAAATAACCCAAAGGGTTTGCAGTTAACCTGCTGGGCTGGTGAGCATGCTTGGAGGTTGGGACTTCACATGTCTGAGCATCAGATGTGTGGGGAGCACATTCCTGCTCCCTGCAGAAGCTCTGCTTGATGCTCAGTTTTCAGTGGCTCCTGGTTCAGCTTGGCTGTGGTATCCAGCTTTACCCCGTGTTCCCACTGCAGTGGCTTTGCCAAGGGTGCCAGCTGATGGTGCCATCTCCCCTTGCCATAGCACTGTCTGTGGTGGTATGGTGAGCCAGATGGGCATCTCAGCCCACCTTGCAAAAATGGATTTCTTTCCCTTCAGCCAAATCAGCCCTTCCCCATCTGGTTAATCGCTCAGGCGTGGGGAAAGCTGTGCCAGTACGGAGGGGGTGTGATGTGCAAATGGGAATGAGTTCCTGGAGGGTTGTGGGAGGATGAACATTGGTCTTTAAGCAGCTTTTCTACTGCTTATGAAACCACAGGCTGGGCAACCACAACTCCCCGTGCAGTGGTGTTGTTCTATATATTCCTGCACTTGAGATTCAGCGCTGCTCACTCTTCCTCTGTGTGGTCCGTGCTGCTTTGTCCTTGGAATGTGTGGGGCTGGGGCATGGAGAACCTGTTCCCATGTCAGTTGGGCTGTCCTGGCTGTCAAACCAGCACTGCACTGCTCTGCAAGTGGGTTCCTCCTCCAGAGGATGTCCTCTGTAGGTGTTGGAGTGACTGCAGTGGGGTTGTGGTGTGCTCTCTAGGAGCCAAGGGTTAAGCACTCTGCTCCAATACCCCACTGTGTGCTTTGCTACCTGTTCCCATGTTTGAATTCACTGAGGGAGAGCTTGAGCAGTCACAGGGGAAGGGCAAGTTCCAGAGAACTGGGGGGAGTCCCAGCCATGCCATACCAGGGCCCTGGCAGTTGTTCTTTTATCCCCTAAGCCCATCTCACCCATGTGTTGGTAACCTGTAGCCTGTTCCTGTATTCTCCACAAGTATTTAATTGAATAAACATATTTATTGCATTGAACAAATGATAGCCAAGCCATTGCTGCCAAACAGGCTATTTGATATCAAGCTTTGCTTTTTAGATAAATTTCAATAGTGCTGCTACTAAGTGGTTTTATAGACCATTACTTTTGGCCAATTCATGAACTATCATACTAACGTGTTTTCAGATGAATTGCCTTTATTATCCTACTAATACAATTAATGTATCTTCTCATGGTTACCTTGTCCTGCACGTTGTTTCTGCCAGAGGTGTAGCAGCATTAACTACACAGAAAAAGCCTTTCTTTAGAAACCTGCTGGGCTTTCCAGAGCCCTGGCTCTGTTTCTCAGAAACCACAAAGGTTGTCAGTGTATTTTTCTTGGCTTCTTGCGTAGGAAGCATTCGTGCCAAGCTAATGGGGAGGGAATAAAGCGTTGAAATTCCTTGTGGAGGGTGGGAAGCTACCTGGGGGTGAAGGGCATTTCACAGCATGCCCTGTGCCAGCATCTGGGCTGTGGCACAAGCCGGTGGGTGAGTGAAACGGAAAGGGAGGACTGAGAGAGAAGGTTAATTAATGAGTTCACAGTGCCTAGTGGCTGCTGTCAGAGGTAGGGTAGGACAGGAGGTGACCACCTTCCCCCCTCCTGTGGCTCCCTGGGGGCTCTGGAGCTGGGAGCCTTCACCTGTACCCACTGTTTCTTCAGTGCAGACCATCAGAAGGGTTACACGTACACCAGCACCAGTCAGGCTCTTTCTAGTCTCTCTCTAAGCTTTCAGCTTCTAACATTTTTCTCCCAGCAGTGTGGGCACTTGCAGCATGGGTGTAGTGGGGAGCTGAATTCAGCTGGGTGGATATTCCTGCCTTGCACCTTGTGAAGTGGTGTTTCAGTGTGTCAGCTGTGGTCAGCAGTGCTGCAGTGATCTCTGCCGTGGGATGGCTGGGGAGCAGCCCTGGGCCAGCTGAGCCTGAGCTCCTCCAGTGCCCCAGAGCTTTTATTCTTCCCTGGGAAACAAGCAGCCCTCCTGTGCACAATTAGCTCTTGGGGTCGGGAGAGAGCAGTTGGTTGTTGGTACGTGTTGTAAACATTGTTGGTTACCAAAATTAGTGCCTTGCCTCCTGCTTTTGAAAAACAATGGGATGTTGTGCTCGTCTGGCAGCTTGGGGACATCTGGTGCTGTCAGAGCAACGTGACTGCTGAGATGCTGTGCAGGCAATGCCCTGGCCAGACAAAGATTAAAAATATCAGCTAATAAGCTTTAAAATGACCTCTACAGTAGGTATTTAGGAAGATGGGTGTACAGAGATTTAGGAAATCTATTTTTCTTCCTTACTACTTTCAAAATAAAGAGTTACAAATGTAGGTTTAGTCTAATCTTGAATTTTGAGGTCAGCCCAACACAGGAAGATCTAGAATCTATTATGTCTGAAGTAATATGAATTGGTTTTATGGATCTGTAATACTTTAAATCCATTTTTTACTGAAATTATTGTTCAGTTTATTCTTTTGTTGTAATGTGCAGCATCATGGTGTTAATACAGAGATTTGTTGTAGTTCCTTATTTTTAGTTCTATTTTTTTTTAGATTGCTGGTCTCTACAGCAGAGCTATTTTAGTAGTTTCACTCAACTTTTCCCATAAGTATGTTTGCTGTTCCGTTGGGATGTTGATATAAAACTGTAACGGGAAGGAACGGCTCAGTGACAGCTTTGAACAGATCTCTTCATGCAAATCTGCTTTTCCCTCCTATGCAAATGTTAAGGAGAAGTGTAATAGATATGTAAGCTGTTAAGTATGAACCAGCTGGATTTTCTGGCTTTGTGAGGCTTATATTCACTCCTTTACCTTTGTAGTCCCCAAAGGTGAACTGAGTGAAGGGGGAGGTGCGTGGGTTGAGTTGAACCTGGCTCCTGCTTTGGCAGAGCCTTTGGTCAGTGACTGGTGGAGCTGAGGATGTGGGCAGCATTCTGGAGCTGCTGAAGGATTCCCTTCTGCTCCCCCATGCCTTGGGTTGTGCCTGAGGGCTGCTCTGGGGGCACAGGAGAGCTGGCCCTGGATGGGAAGTAGTGCAAATTGGGCAGTGGGCACCCAGCTTCATGGGCAAAGTGCCCCCACTACCCGTGGTCCCTCTTCATTGCTTGGGGACCAGCAGTGAGTAGCCCTGCTGATCTTGTCATTGCTTTGATAAAACAGCAGTGGCTTTGCAGGTTTGTGTGTGGGTTTACTGGCTTTTGGTTTTATTTTCTAACCAAAATGTGCAGGTAATATCTGTATATTGTCATAACATTATGTCAAAGTCACACCATTTGCATCAAAGCTGATGTTTCTGGAGATGCTGTAACATTCACTTACACTAAGTGTATGTTTTGTGTTTAACAGGCTTCATTTAAATTTATTTTTAAGATGCCTTAACAATAAAAAATTGTATTCATATAGCTCTTTTCTTCTGGCAGAAATGACTGCTGTCACTGCAGCCAACGTGAACTTCAAATGGGACCCCAAAAGCCTGGAGATAAGAACACTGGCAGTTGAAAGGCTGCTCGAGCCTCTTGTTACACAGGTAGGAAAAAGATGGGGCAAAATAGTCATAAACACGATTGCCTGTTTTGGTGTTTCATTTTAACTAAGTCACAAAGCTTAAATTTTAGGTGTAGAACATGACAAACTGAAAATAAAAAGGTCTGCAAGCAGTTTCTTTGCTCAGTTTCATTGGAATAGGCTGTGAGTCCAGGGAGACTGTGCTGCTTTAGCACCTGATTAGACACAGCAGTTGCTAACATGCATTTCTGCACTTCTGATTGAAATAATGTTCCATGTCTACACTTTGGGCTTGATTTGTGAATAAAAACTTCTTTCTGTTTGGTGTATGTGCCCCAGTGGAAAGCACTGAAGAGCACAGGAAGGCTGAAGTAAATCTTGTAAATGGGAGCTGTGTGTATTGGGTGTTTCAAAATTCTTGGAAGAGACTTTCTAGGAGGTCTGGAGGAGAAGGTACACAGGAGACAGTTCACTTGTTATCTTCAGCATTGTTTTCCTGGAATGTGAAATGTCTAAAATGACAGAATGAGCTGGACAAAATTCCTGCTAGGTACAGACAGGAATGAACAAATTTTGTTTCCAGTATTATTCCCTTTAGTCACCCAGCTGCTGTCTGTACCTGTTACTTGTTCCCTCTGGATCCTCAGGTGGGCAGTTGGATGATGAGGCTTTTTAGCTGAAGTTACTGATAGTCTTTGCTTAAAAGAAATTGTCCTAATTTGGCAAACTCAACCGAGCAAACTTGTTCACAGGACCTTTTTCACCAAGTGCAGTATCTGTAACTTACTCCTCAAGGAATAAGCACAACAGGCTGTACTGGCAATCCCCCGCTTTCTGAATGATGTGACTGGCAAATACAGAGAGGGAACTGGAGCAAATTGCCTTGTTGCAACTTATTCTTTATTTGTAGAACACGATGAACTGAGAGTACCCAGTACAAATGCTCCCCGTTAAGCAACCGCGATACTCCCAACTGACGGCTTTCCCTCTCTGCATCAGCCAGCTGGGAAGATGGATTCAGCTCTGAGGACCTTTATGTCAGCAGTCCTTGGGCTTTCCAGAGCAGTAATTTTTTTAGTGTTGTAATTTAATGTCCCTCTGAAGCAGCTTTGTGTGCGTTTTCTGAGGCTTTCCAAAAAGGAGAGGAAAGAGTAAGGCAAATGGAGAAGTGTGTGTGGATTTTGTGACATGCCTGTGTTGGATGGAAGGGGATGGATCCTGATCCTGAGCTCAGAGAGTACCTGGGGGTCTCCTGGCCTCTGGTGATGCCCTGCTCCCAGCAGGGTGTCCGTCTAACACACAGAGTTGGGAAATATTTGTTGATTTCAGCATGATTATGAGAGTTCAGTTGTGGGTTTTTTAGGGAAATAATGAGCTCTTCCAAGTCCTTTGCTCTGCATTCAGCCCTTTGGCTACAGCTCTGTTTTGGACTAAGAAGATACTGTGTCTCTACACTTGTACTGGCACAGACTTCAACCTTGTCTGGGGTCCTTTATGACTGGAGAGTTATCCCAAACTAATTATCCCTACCTTGGTTTCTTTTATGTGGTGCCAGAGAGTTCTGGCCTGTTACTGAGGCTGCAGTTTATCATAAATACAAATAGATCTCCATTATTTAAATCAACTTTTGAGGTGTGCTGCTGGTGAGAGAAATCTTTGGGCTGTTTAGCTGCATTTATTTTGGTCATCTAAAGAATCAAGAAGCATGGTAGTGTTTAAATGTGAGAAACATTCATTAGGTTAATTTTTGGAGCTGGCAGTAGTGTGGATATTAGCGAAACACTGAAAAAATAGTATATATTAGTATAATATATACCAGAATATATAATAGTATATATAATATATAATAATATATAATAATATATATAATAATACTAATATATATTAAAATATAGTATATATATATGTAGTAAAAAAATACATGTGTCCTCCTTGCTATCAAATGGATAAACATTCAATTTGATGTTGGGCTTTTTCCCTTCCATCTATGCTTTAGGTAACAACACTGGTTAACACCAGCAACAAGGGCCCCTCCAATAAAAAGCGAGGCCGTTCTAAAAAGGCCCATGTCTTGGCTGCTTCAGTTGAGCAAGCAACAGAGAATTTCCTGGAGAAAGGAGACAAAATTGCAAAGGAGAGCCAGTTCCTGAAGGAGGAGCTAGTGGCAGCTGTGGAAGATGTTCGGAAGCAAGGTAAGAGTATGCATTTGGTGGCTTCTCCAACTGTGGCTCTTCAGAGCAAGTAGAACCATTCCCATTTCACTTTGTTGCTCTTTCTAATTACACTGCACCTCTCAACTTGTGGGTTCTCAGCTTGTCTGGCTGGCGTCCGGGTAATTACCCTTTAATTACTGTTACATTACATCCAACAGTAATGTAACTGGATAGGTCTGGAAATTGGATGGCCCAAGTAGAGGTTAAGAAGAGAAACAGAAGGGCTGATTCTTTGAAGAGCATTTAAAAACTCAGTTTAAGCTCAAAAGTTAATGTGCTCCCCGCAGCTGTGAATTTTATGGGACTGCATCTGAAATATGTCAATAACTTATTCGATATCTGACTGTATACAGACCGGCACTGTGGGAGGAAGAGCCAAGTGTTGACTCGACAGAGACGTGTTTCTTGACTATGTAAAATGTAAACAGCACCAAACAGAATGTGAAGACCTTAATTAAATATTCCAGGCTTTCTTCCTCACATCTAATGTTTATTTTTATAATTTTCTTTTTTACTTTCTTGGAGCAGACCTGCAAGAAAAGCCTATGGAGCTGACTTACTCTAAAATATGCACTAGTAAATATTGTTGCTCATAAATCATTTATCATTCTTCCAGTCATGAGTCTTTTCTATGCTTCAGTGAAACCCAGTCAACTGGTATTAATGGTGACGGCTGCTGCTGCAAAAAAGGGAAAACTCATTAGCATTAATTACTTGTTTGTAGCTGAAGTTGCAGAGTGGTGAAATATTAGTTGAAAATGGTTCTAAGTTCTGGATGAGCCTGGTTGACAGACCAAAGAAAGATCAAGGTAAGAAGGCTGCAATATAAGGGGCTAATTGAGTTGGCTTAATTTAACAACAACAAACAGCAAGAGAGCCTCCTTTGACTCCAAGCTTTAATTGCTGGTGCTCAACTGCTGCTCAGTCAAGAGTTAGAGCTCATCTCTGGGTGCCTCCAAAGGGCTCAGTGATGCTGGGGGGAGAGGGAGCTCTGCTCAGCCCTCGGGATTGAGAACTTCCCTGAGCAGGATTTGTAGCTGAATATTGTAGTAAGAAACTGGTGGGAAGGACAGACTGATAAAAAACCTTCCAGATGACCCTTTCCCATGTTTCTTGGTTTCCTCTTGGTTCTGAGCCTGCACATAGGCTTGATGCCAAAGCCTCTCAGCTCTTTTGGCTTTGACAGAGGAGATGAAGCTCATAACTGAGAGGTGTTGGAGTGAAATAACTTCCCACCTTAATGTTGCTTCTCTTCTTCCTCCCATTTTGCTGTTTGCAGCTTGTGTGGATTCTGGTGTTAGAGGGGTGGCTGTGCCTGTTTCCTCAGGCTGGTGGGTGGTCAGTGAATCTCCTGGACACAAGTGGTGCCCACCATCCTCTGTGGGGACACAGGTGCAACACAGCCAGGGTCAAAGCTGTGCCAGTGTTTGGCCAGGTTTAGCAGAGCAGCTCTTGGTGACGAAAATGAAAAATCAAACTGGTCTTTGAGGAAATGAGAAGCTAGTGGTGAAAAATGAGCTAGAACAGAGGGAAGGGTTATTGCTGCCAGTGCCCAGGAGGATTGCAGTTCTCAGCAGTGCTAGTAACAGCAGGGAGACACAACCTCCCAATGTATGTGGTTATGTACACTGTGTGCACCTCAGAAGCCTCCCAGTATTGTCAGACCAGTTGAATTCATGAACTGGAGGAACAAGGAAAGCATGGTGTGAAAACCCTGTGAATGTACTCAGCAAATCTCCTGGCGTTGGTGCCTTCACCTGCCTTTTGCAGCAGGGGCAGGAGTGGAGAGGAGAGCCTGGGTGTCCTGGTCAGCAGCAGTGGGATTATAGAGAAAGAACACAATTAATCTTCAGCGGAGGACAGGAAAATAGCATTAATAATGCCACTATTTAGAGTAGGGAGTGGTTTAGTTACTGTAATAAAAAAAGATGAATGGATGTAGACAGGGATTATGGTGATGATTAGGACAATAGATAACTTGTCTCATCAGAGAAAATTAAAAATTTTTTTTTAGCCTGTCAAGAAGAAGATTGAGAGAGTACATGATTTTAGCGAGCATGCTTGTTCATAAAATCCTATTTGTTGGGGGTAAAAACAAAGAACTGAAAAGAGCTATTTTGAATGAATAATAGCACGGCTGCCTACTAAATCAATATAAGTGGATCTTCAAAGTCTTCTTGTTTTTCACAATGGAGGAATAAGTTACAGCAGGCAAGTTAATGAAATATCCTACAGTAAGATTCTTGGCCCTTTAAAGCTTTGGACTTTTGATTTCTTATAAAGTAATGAAACTTTTTAAGGTTTTGAGAAAAAAAGTGAAGATAAGGAATCAAAGGGTTTTTCAGAATAGATCCTGCTGTGGTTGTAGAAAAGACTTGGTTTTGGGAAAGCATTTGATGTGAACATCTTGAATTTCAGCATTGTTGCAGTGTTTGTTACAGGCATTTCAGAGGTTTGCTGGGTAACAGAAGGTGCACCACTGCTCCTGCCCAGCCCTGCTCCCCACTGCAGGCTCCCTGTGGGGTTTTGCTGTGTGTTGGAGGGCTCAGCCCCTCTGGTGCTGTTGGGAGGTGTTTTGGAGCTTGAACCAGGCCCTTACCCAGGTGCTTGGCACTGGGGCAGCTTCCACACTGGGCTCAAGAAAGGAATTCCTTTTGGGTCAGACTGGCAAGGCAGTTCCTGATTCCCTGGAATGCTGATGGCTACAGCTCTCTGTGTCTGCCTGTGAAGATGGGGATCCCAGGAATCCACTGTGCTCTCCTGTTGTGCAGCTTTACATAACAGACCAAAAATTAAAGCTTAACATTAAAAAGCCTAAGCCTGTGTATAGGGCTTGAGGTAAGAGAAGGGATGAATGCTTTGATGGCTCAGGTTGCAAATGCAGGGGAATGAGCCAGCTGATTGAGCTCAGTGTCTTTCTGCTTCATTCTTCTAAGTGAAGGGTTCTTCAGAACTGAGCAGTGAGATGAATTATGAAGGGGGAAAACAGTTTTTTCAGCTGTACATCACAGAGGATGTCTGGCTTAAGGATTTCCAAAGAGCAGGAGGAGGCCAGTTGTGGGGCATCTTGAAGCTAAATACTGAATTCTTCTTGGAAAATTTAACAAAATTCTGTTGTGACCAGTTAGCCAATTTGTTAGAAAGGTACGATGTGTTCAGTTGGTTTCCTGCAAGAAAGCTTTTTGTGTGCCACTTTGAACAGCCATAACCTGAGGGAGCTCTGAGGTGGCTTTTGGCAGACTGCAGGAGTGTTGTAGGCAGTGTATGGATTTAAGACAAGATTAAGGAGTTATCAGAAGCTTTTGTTGCCACAAGTATCAACTCCCATGTTGATACGGCAAAAGGCCTCATCCTTTAGAGCAGAAAGCCATGCTGTGACACTGCTGGTGGAAGGTGGCATTACTGGTGGGATAGGACTTGAGTATTCACAGCAGTAGAGACTTGAAACTCTGATTTCCTGCTTGCTTCATTTGGTGGGGAATGGCAGCCTCTGGGGAGGTGTGGTGGGGGGATGTGAGCAGGAGGAGATGGCCTGGTTGGTGCTGGGGTGTCCCTGGCACTGCTGGCAAAGCAGCCTGGGGCCAGCTGTGAGCTGAAGAGCTGCAGGGTACCAGGGGATATGTAGGCACAGGCACAGCAGTGCCAGTGTGTCCTGCCTGTCCCTGCCTGCTGCTCTGCCCTCCTGGCACTGGTGCTGTGGAGCAATTCTGTCCGTGCTCATCGTGTTCCCCCCGGGAGCTGCCTGAAAGTGCTGTCACACCCTGTGGGCGTGGGGGAAAGAGATGAGAAAATGGGAATTTTCTTTGGATGGACTGGAGTCTGATCATTTCTAAAATGGCCTTGGTTCCATTAGATTTAATTGAATTCTTAGTGCTTTATTGACAGGATTGTAGGATGGCTATTGTTGCCTCTTCTTTACTCAGGTCTGTTTTATTTTCCTTCCCTTCTAATATCTGATGAAGATCTAAGGTTTTATTGGAAAAACAGACTACTCGTAATAATTTGTACCAGCTTTATAATCTGAGTCTCATAGTTAGACTCTTCTCCACTGTGTTACTTTAACTCTTAAAATCCTTCTTCCAAAGTGGCTGTGTTCCCTGTGTTCAGTGTTGAAAATGGGAAGGTTGTGCTGGATCCCCTTGGAACTGCTGATGTGCACACACAATGCAGTACCTGCATATTTAGGCCAGGCCAGAGTGCCCTCTTGCCCTCTGAATCCAGCTAAAAGAACTACCCCAGGGTGCTTTCCCTTTATAAAAGAAGTCTGAAAGCCAGCTTTCCTTAATTGGCAGAAATGTATATATATGCAACAACTTTAAATATAATCTGCTTTTAATTTTGGGAAGCTGGTTATCTTTTGACACCCTGACAAGCTGTTTGAAACTCACTAAATCCTTTAAAATCTCTTATTAAAATAAAAGGGAATAGCATTTTATTTTAGGACTGGCTTGAAAGGTTGCAATTTAAGAGATGGGTAGAGGATAATTTTGGTTTTTAACTTGGTTAGCAATTTCTGAGATTCACGTGAAGCAAGTGGCCTCTTCAATAAGTTGTTTTAAATAGAAAATAAATGAAAACAACATTTTGGGAGTTGAAAATATGGAAATTTTACATATAAGTAGATAAAGAAGGAAATTTGTATTGAATTTTGGTTCTGGCAGCCTGGATTGGAAGAGACCTTAAAGCTCATCCAGTGCCATCCTGTGCCGTGGCCTGCCCACGCTCCCAAGGAACAATTCCTTCCCAATATCCCATCTAAACCTACTGTGTTTGAAGCCATTCCCCTTTATTGTGTTACTTCATGCTCTTGTAAATACATATCCTTGAATCCTAAGCTTGTCAATGGATTTCATGCTTGTGGTGATGACTTTTGTTATTGGCCTGTTCTAGAAGGAATAAAGAAAATGTCAGCTGTGTTGGGGTTTTATAACATCCTGGCTGTTTGAAGCTTCCAGCTTTGGTGGTACTTCATCTCTCACCCATCTGGAAATCTGGAGTTCTTAACCCTTGTTAAAATAATGAGTTGTGTTCCCCAAAGCTGGGTAGGGGATAGCTTTGGGTTGGTATTCAGAGCTGGCCTGTAGTTGGACAGAAGCTTTTTTGCTGTGTCCCAGTAGAGAAGTAGCATATTTTTATCTTAAAATGTTATGTGCCACTCTTGGTTGTATTATTTAAGATGATGGAAGGGTGTTACATAGGGGGGAGCATTTGAAGAAAATTGAGTATCTTGATGTGGTTGCTTGGGCAGGCTGGCAGCTGTGCTTGGGCTGAATTTAGCTGTGAAGGTGTAGAGTGCCTGGGTGGGAAAAGCTTCCTGGGCAAGATATTATATATGAGGATGGTTAACCCCCGGCTCTCCAGCTGTTGGCACTTCTGAGCAGTTAAAAGTCAGCTGTTAAAAAAGTGGAAGCCTTCTGGGACCGCATCACGCAGAGATTTCGGGGCAGCCCTTGCCCTGTGTGGTGTGGGGGGCTCCATGGGGCTCACTGTCAGCTGTCACTTGTCAAGGACTGGTGGAGGTTTTTTAGTCTCATCTGAGACAGGCTATTTTTATTTTGGCATTTGACCACATGGGCACTTTTTCATACAGGTTTTTGGGAAGCCTCTGACACAGCAGCTAGCCATAGCAATCTGCTTTCTGGTCGTCTCTTACTGCCTGACCCTGAGGACCTGCCGTTTTCTAAACTAAGTCCTAGCTGTTTTCTCAGTGTTTCTGAGATGCAGGGAGGTCCAAGGATAACAATGTGGATTCCAAAACTTACTGCTATGTAGGAACTGTGGTACTGGAAGCTGCCCCAGAAAGTGAGGGAGAAATCCAACATTTACTCCTCTGACTGTATGCGGGCATTACTTTTATGCTTTGTGAATGCCTTCTGGAGGAATTGCTCTAGCTGTGCAAAGTGGCCTTTGCTTTTCATAGTTAACCAATGGCATTGTTACCATCTGAAACCCAAATCCTTTGCTCCTGCACCAGATGCAGCCCCACAGGCTATGAAACATTGAAGCGTTTTACAAAGCGCTGCCTGGCTTTGAATTCCAACCAGGGCATATCCAGCCAGGTCATCGCTCCGAGTTGTTTACGGTCCCAGGAGCTGTGGCAGCTCGCTGTGTGTTTACAGGGCTTTCTGCTGCTTTCTGCTTAACTCCTACACGCACACAAATCAAAGCTTTTGCTCAGGCTTTGAAAGCATCGGAGCTTGGGGAAGAACTGCAGCCCTGCAAAGGCGTGCTGAATTTGTCTCTCTAGAGAATTCTGGCATGCTGGAACACCTGTACAAATGAAAATAAGGACCAAAGTGTGGTTTCCCAGCCCTTACTCCCTGCATAAGCCCCTCTGCCCCAATGCCATGTGGTAGCTGTACTTAGAGGTAGCAGCATGAACTGTTGGCTGTGTTTCACAAATGCTTTATTTTAGAGACTCAGGTTGGCTTAGGAGCCCTTGCAGCGGCTGAGGCTGTGCTGGGTGGTGCTGAAGTCAGCCCCTGCTGTTCCCCTGCAGGTGACATGATGAAGAGCGCGTCCGGGGAGTTCGCAGACGACCCCTGCTCGTCGGTGAAGCGCGGGAACATGGTGCGGGCCGCGCGCGCCCTGCTCTCCGCCGTCACCCGCCTGCTCATCCTGGCTGACATGGCAGATGTCTACAAGCTGCTGGTTCAGCTCAAAGTTGTAAGTGTGGGGCTCTGCTGTGCCTGGAGTGCTGGGGGTGCTCTGCCAGGCGCCTGCCGTGCGTGTGACCCCGTGGGGCGTGTGCTGGCAGCGGCTCCCTGCTGCCATGGGGGTCCTGGAGGTCTTTTTCCTCTCAGAAGAATGTGGGGAGGGTCTGGGGGTTTTTCTCTCAGCAGAATATGTGCAGTGGGCGTGTGTCACTCATTTTTATACTCAACTGTCAGTAGCTTTTGACACTGAGCTGCACTCTGTTCTGAACTTTTAGTACAGAGACCAACTGAGCCTTGGTCTGCAGCTGCAGGCGAGAGCCAGCCCTTTCATCTTACAGAATTTGGCTTTCGTATAACCAGTACTCCTTTGCAGCTACTAGGGATGAGTAGGTTTGGCAGTCTAAATAAAAATGGAAGTGGACTGTTTGAGGAAGCCCATGAGCAACAGGGTGGGTGAGTGGTTTGTGCAGAATTGGAAGTGAAATGACATTGGATACTGGGTCTTCCTTTGCAAATGAGCTTTGAGGACTCTCCTTGTGCCCTTAGGCCGCTGATATGGCTCTGCCAGGGCCCTGGACTCCTTCATGCTCTTTCAAATGTGTGTACTTGACTGTCTTTGGTTGCTGGTGACTATGAAATAGTAGCTAAGCACTGTGTCCTATTAGCCTTTAAAGTGTCTCTCCAAAAAATAATAGGGAGCAGAAGAAGATTGCTTTCTCTGGCTGGCATGAAATACATTCTGAAGTACCTCCTGACCTGTGGACTGTATTGCTTGGGAAAATATGTGAATATATATTCTTTTAGGTGGAAGATGGTATTTTGAAGCTAAGAAATGCTGGCACAGAGCAGGACTTGGGTATCCAGTACAAAGCCCTCAAACCAGAAGTGGACAAGCTTAACATAATGGCAGCCAAAAGACAACAGGTACAGTGTGGCCACTTTCCTCTGTCTATTAATTCTTATTTTTCTTTTCCAAAATAAGGCAGCCTTGCTGCTCTTGGATGGTACCTATTCTGTTAATAATTTTTACTCAATTTTTTTACATTATTGCTGAGTATTTTATGTTGTGCTCTGCCATGTTTAGCAACTTCCTGGTAAGCAAGAAAAGTCTGCTTGGCTGTAGGGTGCTGCTTCTGATGGAATTTGTTCATGGCAGCATTTGATTTTGTCGGTGTTTTAGTGCCTCAATGACATGTTGCTGCCCAAGAGCTGCAGTCCCTGTTTGGAAGCAGTACAGGTGTGGGTGAGGACAGGGAGCTGAGATGTGTCCCAGTCCTGGACACTCTGCACTAGACCCTGTTGCTGTTGTGGCTCTCACAGATGGGCTGGACGTGCCCACGTGCACGGGGAGCAGAAGCCATGGCTGGGCACAGCTACAGCTTCCTGAGGAATCCAGTGGTGCTGCTCACTGGTCTTGCACTGAAACCCCCCACTGGAGGGGGGTTTAAATTCATGTTTGTTGTGGGTATGTTCTGTGTTTGGATAGTTTCTGCTTAGCTTTAAATTGCGTGTGAAATTTGTTTTGTTCAACAGCGCTGGTGTGACTCATTCTTGTGTAGTTAAGTTTTCAGAAGAAAGCAGAGGTGTGGGCAGTTTAACTTATCAGAAATAGCATAATTCTTTTAGAGCATTTTTTGCCTCTTTGTTCTGTAGATACATACAAACCAAAACTGCTTATGCACCTCTGACACTGCTTGGGTTTTTTTTTTTGCACAGATTTGTCTTAGAAAATAAGCTGGGTCCAGTCAAAAAGGGATTGCCAGTTGGTTATGTATCTCAAATCTGATTGCAGTAAATGGGAGTAGGGCTGTGATGGCAATGCAATAAATGCTCTAAAACTGCTTTGTGATGGATTGTTCCACACTATGGGAAGTGGTTGTACAAAATCTCTAAATCTCTGTGCCTGCTTGGAGTGCCCTCCCTGCTCGGTGTGTGCCTTACAGAGGTCAGCTATTGCCCATTCATTTTAGAGAGTCTGACAGAATTTTTTTCCCTTTTCTCAGTAAGGCAGTCCTTGTCTTCATTTTCACTGCCTCTTTGTTAGATTTAAGAGGTAACTTTGAAATCCTGCTGCTGCTAATAACTGTGGTTGTTCCTCCTTTTATGAACTTACTGCTTGTGCTGGACTCAGAGGCTTTATCTGATCATGGTGCTCTGTTCCAAAACAGAGGTGATGGTGCTTTAGAGAATTACAGCACAGAGTGTTTGGGAAAAGACTTATGGACTTGCTCACTAATCTTGAATTAGTGGTAATTACAGTCATTGGATTAATTTTGTCTCATTGCAGGTGAACAAGAAGTTGAATGAGATGATATATTTGTTCTTCTGAAATTAAGTACCTGAGTCTCTTGAGGAGAGTAAATGCCATCTTCTAGGTGTGATTAAAGAAAACATTCTGGTTGTGAACCTGGGAGTTTAAATTAAAGATGATCTTGCTTCTCATCTGCAAGTGCAAGACAGGACAGCTTTTAAAATGCTGGTCCTCTGCTGCAGAGGAACAAAAATCCAACGTCAGGTTTTGAATTGTGGTGTTGTGAGTTGCCCTGCAGTGTTGTTGCTTTGTGAAGCTGTCGTGTTCTGCAATTAGTTGAGCCCTTAAGGACAGGAATAGTCAGCAGACAGATTTGAGCAGATTTGAGGCAAAGAACCTGCCTGTCCCTTGAAGATGCGGGGAGACAGCGTATGGACATGGAATGTGGGCAACGCTCTCAAACGCTTCTCTTTCCCCTTTAACTTTCCTAACAGGAGTTGAAAGATGTGGGTCACCGCGATCAGATGGCGGCAGCCAGAGGAATCCTGCAGAAGAACGTGCCCATCTTGTACACGGCATCCCAGGCCTGCCTGCAGCACCCTGACGTCGCTGCCTACAAAGCCAACAGGGACCTGATCTACAAGCAGCTGCAGCAGGCGGTCAGCGGCATCTCCAACGCCGCCCAGGCCACCGCCTCGGACGACGCTGCCCAGCAGCAGGGCGGGGGTGGAGAGCTGGCATACGCCCTCAACAACTTCGATGTGAGTTGGAACCCGTCCTGCTTTAGGGCAAATCTGGGAGGAAACTTCCTAAGGGGTCTATCTAGAAAATAGATTGAAGCAGCCCCTCCCTCAGCTGGTTTGGGAAAAGATTTCCTTGGAGAAAAGTGGAAAAAACCTGCTTATTTAACAAGCAGAGTATATAACCCTAAAAATAAAAGAATAATATTAAGCAATGAAACTTCTCGCTGTTCTGAAGAGATGGCAAATTCAGCAAGTCCTTGTGGTGGGGTGTAGCTCAGCTTGTTCAGTCTCTCATCAGTCCCTCAGTGCTCTCAGTCCTGGTGGGCACCAGGTGTGAGCTCCTGGGGTTTGTCTGGGTTTTCAGTCCAGAGCAGGGCCAATCAGTTCTAAGAAAAAGAAAAGCCACATTTCAGGGAACTTCTCTGCCTCAGCCAGCTAAAAAACTAAAGGCAAAGGAGGGCTCCTGTCCTGCTGTCCATGCTGCAGACAACACTATGAGAAGGAAAGCAGAAGCTCTTATCTCTGTTTCTCAATACAGCCACCTCAGGCATTCCACCACTTCTCCTTCTCCCCCTCTTCACTCTCAGATCTAGTTTTAAAAGTGCAAAACCTATTTCTGGGCTGAACAGACAAATGGAGATACAATTCAGTATCATAAAGGACAGAATCTTGCTGTGAAAAACCCTCTAACTCTCGTGTTTGTTCACCTGGTTTGTTAGCCACAGCTTGCTTTTATTGCTATTGCCTGGAAGATCATTTTCTACTGAAGTGCAGCAAGTTGTAGGCAAAGTAGGCTTTTTTAAATAAGTCATTTTCCAAACTAGGGTTGATGGAATATAGAAAGTTATATATGTGGTTCTTGGTGATGGAAAGCTGTCAAGTTAAACTAGCTCTGAAATAGCAGTTAGCCTACTGCTACATTAGATGGTTTGTTTGAAATTGATTATTTCATAATATATTTATGTAATGTATTCTTGGAGGTGACAGAAGTGATTTATTCAAAGTGAATCATGTATTTGGAATTGCTGAAACTACCTATTGAGAGGAACATGAAGTGGGAAGTTTTAATACAATCTTTGGTTGGAAATGAAGTCGTTTCACACTGATATGTTGTACTGATCTGTCATGTTCTTTATCTTGCATTCAGCACGTTGCTGGGGACAGCCATGCATTTTTACTGAGATGGCTTTCCTTTTGAAGCCAGGATTTGGTGTCTACCTGATTCATCCTCTGAATTTTAAACACTGCAGCACTAACTTACTCTAGAACTTTATTTAATATTGCAAAGCCATCACTCAAAAGGCATTTAATAGTTGTGGTTTTGCCAGATTTTTCTCACCTTTTTTCCTCTTACCGCTCTCGTTCCTCCCTTTCTGCCATGTGTATTTTGCCAGGATAAAGTTCTGTTTGAGTTCTCCCTGTGCCTGATGGGGGAAGCCTTTCCCTGTGATCTCTTGGGTAACAAGAGGATGTCATGGCTGTCTTGATCTCTGTGACTGGCTTCAGTTTTGAGTTTGCCTGCCTGAAGTTCCATCAGATGCTCAGTAAGCCTTTGGAGTGTGCCTGAGGGTAGCCCCGAGGGGCTGCAGGCTCTCACAGGTGCCTGTGGGAGGGGAAGGCAGCCCTGCAGCAGCAGCACCGTGTCAGGGGCTGGCAGTGCAGAAGCAATTCAGTTTCAGGTTTGTGGACTGACTTGTACAGCTCAAACCAGCTAATGGGATTTCTGACAAGTCACCCTATTTTACTATACAAACTTTCCAGTATACAGCTGCAGACTACTGTTTGAGTGTTGCAGTTCACATGAAACTTTTTGAACTTTTAATTCCACTTTGTGATGCTCTCTAATAGCAGCAGTGCCTGATCAGCAAGCCAGCTTCACGATAGCTTTGTCTCATCCCTGCCAAAGGAGGCTGACAAAACAAATGTGTTGAGGTTCTTGGCAGATGTTATCCCTGCACTTCATTTCCTGCTGCTGCTTGAGTGTTATTACACTCCTGTAATAGAGGTTTTGAGCACACATGCCCCCAGATACTCCAGTAATGGTAAAATATGAAATGGCTACCAGAAGATAACAAGCTGATTGTTATCTCTCTTTTTTTGGCGGTGCAGTTCTGGAGAGGTTGCACACTACCATTGAATTAGCCAATGGCTAAAAGTTTAGGGAAGAATGAGGAGGGATCGCATTGGAGAGCACATGCCATGTTCTCATCCTGCTGTGATGCCTGCGTGCTTACTCCATAGGGATGGGAAATGTGCTGCCTGGCAGGAGGAGGTTGTTGTGATGTGGCTGCTGAGGTTAGCTTGAACACAGACTGGCTGAAAAAATTCCCATTTCAAAAAGCTTTGGAGCTTCTTTTAAAATTAACGAATTCCACCCCTGAAACAACCCAACCAAAACCTAAACAAACCAAACTGTGAAATGGCCAAATTATTTTTCTTTATTAAATTACAGATATGTTTAAACAAATCACCTGAAAGTACTCAAAGGTGATAAATACTGTGCAGCCTTTCCTGGGAAGCTTCCATGGGTGGTGGTGTTGGCCCCTTGGGAGCAGATACATCAGTGCTGCTGTTTCTGCCCCAAGTCTCTTGGTATGAGCTGTGCTTGCTGACACTGTGGCAAGAGAAATCTGCAGTAAATGTAATGAAGAAATTGATTTTGGTGTGATTTGAAACCTTTATGTTGATGTTTCACTTGGAGAATTTTCAAGAATACAGTTGTATTTACCTGCCTAACACTGAAGAGAAGAAAGACTGTGCAAAGCAGGGCAACAGAACACAATGCATAGAGCCAATTTTGGATGTTTGTTTTCTTGTTCATGATGGGATAATTATATCTGACAAGTTAACTAGTGAAGGCCCGTCCAAATTGACATGTCATTAGGAAGAGTTCTGTACTTTGAACCTTATTTTTGTTGGCACATTTGATTTTTGCCATTCATGTAACAAGGCTTCCTATGGCCAAGTTTTGTTTAGCTGTCAAAGCAGCACAAGAAATGAGTAGCAATATAATCTGCTGGGAAACCTCTTAGTAATTTTACAAAACTACTCATGAAAATCCTCCTCAGTGCCAAAATGGTGTCGTTTGCCTCTTAATGCCTGACCAGGGAGTTACTCTAAGTGTTGATTGTGTGCATGATTTAACAGTAATGCACTGCTTTGAGCCTTAGAGTGGCTACCTAGAGCAGAGGCCAGATGAGATTAAGAGAATAAAAGTGGGTATTTATTGAAGGTTTGCAATAGATACACCTTGGGCAGTCAGAAGTCTCCGAGAGGGGCTGCACCCAAGATGGATGATGGTCAGGAGTTTTTCAAACAATTATGAGTCTCAGGGGTTCATACTCCAATTACAGCTTCAGGTAATGAAGTTGTTTACTCCAGGTTTGCCCCCTGCCCAGTTCACTGTTGTTTACATCTCTCAGGGCCTGAGGCAGTGAGGTGTCCTTGAGTTTCAGGCCCAGAGAGGAATTGTTTTGGCTGACCAAAATGTAAAGGTGGTAGCTAACACTCCATAAGGAGTTTTAGAGACTAAAGCACTACAGGATTTGAAAAATATAAAAGCTAAATACTAAGGCATCACCTGGACTAGTGACTGATTTGCAGAACTTTTTCTCTTACCAGAAACAAATCATCGTGGACCCCTCGACGTTCAGCGAGGAGCGGTTCCGGCCGTCCCTGGAGGAGCGGCTGGAGAGCATCATCAGCGGGGCAGCCCTGATGGCCGACTCGTCCTGCACGCGCGACGACCGCCGCGAGCGCATCGTGGCCGAGTGCAACGCCGTGCGCCAGGCCCTGCAGGACCTGCTCTCTGAGTACATGGGCAATGTGAGTACCCCTCTCTGCTGGCTCCCTTTGGGCTGCAGCTCCATGGCATCAGCTGAAATACGGGATTGAAGCCATGTCCCTCAAAGCTGGTCTGTTCTGTCCCAAACAGAACTTGAACAAGTGGTCCTGAAAGGTTTGTCATGGCATGGGTTAAAACCTACTTAAAATTGATCTCCAGTCTTCCAACCAAGTGTTGTCATCATAAAGTGTTAACCCTATAAGTGTTGCCATCACAAAGTGTTAACCCTTTGGCACTGCTTCTGTTTCTATTTTATGACTGTTGGCATTGTTTTATAGAGAAATTCAAACCTCGGTTTACCTAAGGTGACTGGGTTTATGCAAAAAGTTCACTTCTGTTGACTCTTGGAAACTTTAACTGTGTCATCTTTGTAGCTGAAAGCATGAGTTGTCAGAATCAAGTTGATTATTGTTGCTACTCAGAGTAGAAGTGATGTATGAAGTTGAAGATGTAGTAAAAAAATCTGAGAGCAGTTTGGTGTAAATATTGGGCTCTGGGCAGTTCTTTTCCAGTGTTTAGACACTGAATGTGCACACAGTGTTTGAAGCCTGAGCGTGTTTCTACGGTTGGAGTAAGTGTCATGTCATGTGGATGAGCTTCTGCATTTGGTGCAATATTGGACTTCCTTCCCCTCCATTGCCCCTTTGCTCTTGTTCCAGTGGGTTTTAAACTGAAGAACTTGCTGTGTTGAGAGGTGAGATCAGGATATTTGACAATATAATTGTCAAAGTTCAATGCTGTGGAAGCTGATTTCAGAAATAAAGTTGCAGAAATGGCAACAACTTAAGCAAACTGTGTGGCTTGTGGCACTGTGGCAAGTCTGAAGAAATCTTACTGGAAGGAGGTGAAGTCTTATTTACGATTTTGAACTTGTTTGAGGTGCAACTGAGTTCAGAGACACCTTTTTTAGACAGTAGTACTTATTTAGGAACCTTGCTGCATCAGGAACCTTACCTTCAAATCTTTTGGCCCAAGTGATTTCAATATAGAGCAAAACTGGCTCAGAGACTGCCATGTGTGGGCTGGGGAGGTGGAATTTGGAGAACAGATGCAGTGTGTGTGGCAGAGAGAAAGGAAAACAAGGATTTCTGTTTACCAAAGAGAAGGGCAAAGTAATTGAACAAAACTGAAAGGCAAGTCTGATGTAGCCTGCGGGCTGAGCTAGGTATTCATGTAGTCTGTCTTAATTACTTGTGAAAGTAGCTTGTGCTCAGCATTGACATTTTGTAGAACTTCAGACTGCAGCTGGGGAGCAAAGCACAGAGTTGTACCACTCAAAACTCCTTTGAGAAGGGTGTTTTATGAGTCTATGAAGCATCAGCAATAATCCTTCAAATGTGCTGCTGGATTGGATGGAGCCCTGTCAGCACGATTCTGAATGGAGCAGCCACCAAAGGGTAATTAACATGTGCAAGAGGTAAATGCTCGGTCTTGCATGGAGGAGTTGGTGGCGTTTGTGTCATTGAAAGTTGGTCAATAGCCGTGTGAGAGTGCAGAGCTTTGGCTTCCTCTCACAGCAATGCCTGTCCTCCTCCTCAGCCATGTGCTTTTGTCTCTGATAGGCAAGTTAAAGTAATCAGGCTGAGATGGGAAGAATGTATTCCCTCTGTTATCTCCTTTAACACATTGTGAAATTAGTGGAGCATACTGCATTTTTTAAAGTCACTGTTATGTTATGATTGTAGACAGTGTAGTTGGGGAAATTAGATTAGAAATTCAGTGAAATGGAGTGGAAAAAGCAATTGATAAATTATGGTGAAAATGTGGGATGGTGTGTAAAAATCCATACTGTAAACCCCTCTGTGATTAAGCTGAAGAATGACTAATAGTTGGGAATCTAAACAGTGAAAATGGTTTGATACATCTGCAGGAAGAGTAGGGATGTGCTGACTTAGAGTAGTGGCAGAGGAAATGTCATTTCATGTATATGTATGATATACCCACAGCTCCTGGGATGCTTTCCTCCAGTCTCCCTTTGAAGGAGGAAGTGAATTGGGCATTAAATCTGTTAATTGCACAGCACTTGCAGTGCATCGTAAATCCTATCCAAGTGCTACAGTAAGAGGTATTTATGGGCCAAGTGTAAAAATTCAGAGAAGATTGGATGAGGAATACACTGGAAAGGCTGAAGCACAGGACTGTCTTGAGGCAGATTTCCTTTCTAACTTTAAATGCCTCCTCTTCAGTGACTTCTTTTGAGCTTTTGAGCTTTCTTTCTGCTCTCTGGCAGTAGAATGTTTTCTAGGCAGTTTATAACTCAAAGTTTAGTGTTTTGGACCCAGAGTTTAACTGTTTCTCTGTTGCTGTCCTTGAAGGTCTGTAAGTCTGGAAGTATTGGTGGCTGTATTATGGAGTGTAGCAGAAGTTTTTAGCTGAATAACAGTTTTTGGCAATAAACTGAATTGTAGGATCTCTTGACCCCCACTGTATCTGCTGGCACGGTGATGAATCCTGTGATTATGCCCTTAAAAGAAGGGCAAGATTTGCTTGTAGTTTGTTACAGAAGTTTGAATCTCCTTTTTCTCAGATTGGTGAGTGTATGATTTTTTTTGTCTAGCACAACTTTTCTTGCTGTTTTCAAGAGCATCTTGGTCAGACTAAATCTTTTATGTCAAAGCCAGTATCCTGTCAGACAGTGGTCAGTAGTGGATCCTGCAAGCAGAAGGACAGGAACAAAGGAGCTGTTTAATTTACCTTGCCCCATGTGTCCCCCCAGTGCTGGCAGTCTGCAGCTCAGGCACTTCTGACCAAGCTGGACTGGTCTTGAAAATGGCAAGAGAAGTCGTGCTAGTGGCAGGAGTGCTTCTGTGGCTGTTAAGTGAGATGGGCTTTCATTGCTTGTGTCCACTGAACATCATCAGCCACTTCATGACCCAGCCTCTTGGTTTATAAGCTACATTCTTTGAAATCCCAACTGTTCATCCCTTAATTGTAGCATCTGATCCTCTGGCTTTCTCCCCTCCTTTCCCCCTTCTCCTGGGGAGAGCTGTTTTCCATTATGGCTTTTGCTCACTTCTCACAATTCCAACTGAAAATAGTTTTCCTTTTTAAACTTGCATTGCAGATCCCTCCTGGATTGAAATAGCATGAAGCCTATTTGCATTTGGGTTTTCTTACTTGGAGCAAGCTTGATTCTTGCTGCTGGTGATGAACAGCAGAGCTGGAAGGGGAAGGCCAAAATCCATTATTGATTGAGTAGCTTTGTAAAAGCAGAGTAGTCCAAGGTCTTGGGGCTGGGATCAACTGCCTGGAATGCAGTAAATGGACCACATCAGTTCCAGCTAAGTTTGTAACATAACTCACAGATGGCAAGACCAGATCTTTTGTATGATCTGTGGCAGTCAGGCATTCTTGGTGTGTATTTTATTAATTAAACAAAGAAATTTCAAAACATATTTGAGTTTAGTTGAGCATTGATTGCAGACTTAGGCAGGGCAAGAGGGCAGAGCAAAGCATCGAACAGAATGATGTCAAGATTAATAGTGCAATCAATGAAGAAGCTAGTAAGAAATATCAGAAAATACAATGGGTCTAGCTCCATAATCTCATGTGGGTACATGTTGACCTGTTGCAGTTTTCTCCAAATAAAAAGGATGAAGCTGTGTATTTCTTGACACTGCTACCAGTTTATCCTGGCATTGCCTTTGCACTGGCAGCTGGTGAGATTCCTCTCCCACTGGAGGTACAGCCAATATCTCTGCTTTTCTGTACTGTGCTGCTCAGCTTTGCCTCAAAGTTAACATAACTCCAATGAAAATACATGGATATCTAAACTACTGAAATGCATTAAAAAACCCCCAGTGGGCTGACAGCTGAAAAATTCCTGTGTTTGAGAAGTAAGAAAATGTGTCACTGACACGGGAATCCACAAAGTTGGTTGTGACAGGTACGTGCTCTGTGCTGTAACCCTCTGGGTGTCATTAGCACAGGACTTGGGCAGCCTGCCTTGCTGTCAGCTCTGGGTTACACATGGCAATCCCTGCATTAGGTGCCTTTGGGGCCGGGCTTTGAAGGGTTTGGGGTTTAGCAGGGTAGAAAGCACGGGCCATGCCCTGGAAATGTAACCAGCAGTTTCCAGTGTGCTCTCAGTGTGCCCTGAACTTGCAGAAGACATCAGTTATCTGACTGACATGTAAGACTGGTAAGAAAAGCTGCCTTAAGCTTTTGACAGTCAATTTTTACTGCCTGGTGCAGGAGCCCTGAGGGCTGGGCACAGTTGGGCTCCCTTCCACAAGCCAGCCGCGGTCGGAGGTGTCGGGCTCTGTTTAGTATGCACAGGGAAGTGCAGAGAGCTCTCATTTTCAGTCTATTCTGTACCCCATCAATTTCTAATGCATTCAGCTCCCCTTTCATGCACACACCAGTAACTCAGCCATGTACCAGCAGAAACATTGTCAGGAATTGTAGTTTGGCGAGTGCGGAATGCGGACCCAGAGCCCCATTGTGTACCACATGCTCTTGTACAATAAAATCCCTTGTTACTACATTTGGAAACGATAAATCATGTTACATAAAGTAGCCTGACAGGTCCCATTTCAATGGGAATTTTAATGCTTTCATATTAACATTCTGACTGTGTCCTTGACTGTCTGGATTGCATTAGAGGTGCTTGGCAGCAAATGGAGAAAAGCCATTGGGAGCTGGTTCAGAGCAGGCGTTCCAGGCACACATCACTTTAGGATGGCTTTTTATTTTCCCTGGTTTCCATCTTCTCTTTGGCCTCAAGTGCTTAACCACCACAGCAGGGTCTGTTTGGGGGTGGGAATTATGTTTCTTTCTATGTTAGATTTTAAGCTGTGCAGGTTTGGCACAGCTTGAAGGTGAGGGAGGTGGTTGAGCCCAGGCTGTGGCCCTGCTCTGCCTCGGGGAGCTCTTGCAGGCCAGCGTGGTTTGGATCTTGGGGTCTCCAGAGAAGGTCCCAACACAGCTGGATTTGGACCTGGTGGACCCATAACTTGCTAAATGCTTGGTTTGCACCATT